TTTGTTGGAACAGGGGGTTCTCCATAAGCAAGAGGAGCAGCGGCCGGAGAGACAGCACAGGGGAAGGCGCTGGTCTTGCACGCAGTCAATCTGGGTTCTAGCCCCAGCACCACATATGGTCCCCGAGCATGCGCAGGAGTGATCCTTGAGCACAGAACCAGGAGTAAACCTTGAGCACTGCTGGGTGTGGACCAACTCCCATCTCTCCCCAAAAGGAAGAAACTGGACACTTCCAGGAATCACTAAAATGCCAGTGTGAGTGTCACCATCACAAACGAGGCAGAAACGAGTGTCAAGTTCAAAGGGCAAACACTGAACTTACTCTGAAGGCGCCCTCCGACTCCATGGAGAGAAGGTCCCCGTCGAAGGGAATGAGGTCCAGGCTGTACTCCTCCCTACGGATGAAGGAGCCCAGGACGCCCAGGTCCTTCAGCCGCTGCTCACACAGCAGGCTACGCCGGGGCACAAACAAAATGTGGAAATCTCTTGTGGGGCCACGTCTGTCTTCACTGCAAGAGAAGGACCGTGCCTTGGCCCGAGGCCCCGATGTGAGGACTGCTCCCCAGGGCCCCACCTGTGCCTGACACACAGTGGGCTCTAAAGAGACGCTTATGAGCTAACCCCCCACTACTGACTCCGCCCAAGTTTCGAGTTTTCCTGCTCTCTTGATGTGATGCTTTTTCTGGAAACCGCTGACCTGTGCTCTGCCAAGGGGCAGTGCTGCTTCTCTTGGGCCATTGATGGGACATGAAAACTCTCAGGGTTGGGGCTGGAGCAACAGCGCAGCGGGTAGCGCGTTTGCCTTGCACGCGGCTGACTCGGATTCAATTCCCAGTTCCCAGCATCCTATATGGTCCCCTGAGCACCACCGCAGGTAATTCCTGAGTACAGAGCCAGGAGTAACCCCTGTGCATTGCCGGGTGTCACCCAAAAACAGAAAAAAAACCCAAAAACCTCTCAGGGTTATTGCAATGGACATCTGTTTCTTGCAGAAAAAAAAATGTTTCTATTTAATCAAGCGATGTCTCTAGGAAAATAAATGGTTGCTTCACACCGTGCCCGATCTTGCGCAAATACCCCACATGATTTTAAGTCCATCCGTAGGGACCACGTCGATCAGACGTAATGCAGACTGGGCTGGTTCACTTCCTCCATAGATGCTGCAGCATTAAATTTTAATCAGCTTCTCCTGACGTTGCTTATGAAATTTGAGCATATGGTATTCAGTACTTGAAAATGAACCACTAGCTGTTTTTCTTTTTATAAAAAAATCTGGGTCCTTCTACTGAGACAGGCCGGAGCTTCCTACTGTCCTGAGAGAGTGGGTTTCTGTGGTTTGCCCTGCCTCCCCAAGCCCCAATGCACAAAGTTTCCCATTCTCTATTTATAGTTTTTGGGCCACACCTGCAGGTGCTCAGGGATAACTCCTGGCTATGCACTCAGAAGTCACTCCTGGAAGACTTGGGGACCACACTGGGTTCCGAGGATCTATCCTTGTCTGACTGCAGAGTATCCTACTCCTGACCCCCCATTCTCCTCCGACACACTCTCACATCTGTCCAAAGATCCACTTCCTAAAGCGCTGGCAAGCAAAGGTGTCCTGATGAGCACTAGAAGCACTAGAGGAATGATTCCGTATGGACCATGCATCAGCTCTGAGATACCTAAGCACATTTTCAGCAATTATATCCATCAGTTCTAGCCGGGGTCTGACGAAAAAAATGACATTCTTGACATCCGCTGCTTGCAAGCAGCTTCCTTTGAGTGTGAACATTTTCTCCACCTCATGTTCCTAGGTAAGCACACATACAAATGGTGAACAGAACCCCTAAAGCTTAGCAGCCGACCCTAACTCAGACATCACTGCAGGCAGCCAACTCGGGTTGGATTGCCGGCCTCCCACACCGTCCCCAAACACCACCAAGAGTCATTCCTGAGTGCAGAGCTAGGGGTAAGTCTGAGCACTGCCCGGGGTGGCCCAAACAAAACAGACCAACAACAAAAACTCAGGTGTTCTAACACTCCCACTCCAAAGCACAGTAGACTTTAGTGTTGAGTCAGAGAATGCAGGGGTTACGGTACATGCCTGACACATGACTGCCAACTTCGCCCCCTGGCACCACAAGGGTCTCAAGCATTGCCATGTGCATCCCAAGAGAGGCCACTGGAGTGGCCTGGGATATCCCTGCCACCACAGCGCCAAGCCTCATCGAACTGCTAAGACTCACCACCAGAAGGTGCCCAGGGGCAGTGCTCAGGAGACCTGGGGCTAGGGAGAAAGTAGAGTGGTGAAGGTGCTTGCTTTGCATTCAGCTGACCCGGGGTTCTATCGCCAGCACCCCATACTGTCCACTGAGCACTGCCAGGAGTGATCCTAAGTGCAAAGCCAGGAGTAAGTCCTGAGCACTGCCTGGCACGAGCCCCCAAATAAAATTCAAAACCACTTTAGGATAAAAATTTAGATTCCCCCAAGGCTGGTGTATAAATTCAGGCTGAAGTAACCAATCCTGTGTCTGAAAAACTTTGATCCACATGAAGTAACAATCAGAAGACATGCCGCTCCGTCAAGGAGAAGAGGGGGGTGCACACCCACCCTTGAAAGGTCCACTGAAGGCTCCTATGCTGCCCGAGCCCCTGAGTTGCTTGTGCCCGTGTAGCCGAGCAAATACGGTGCTCGCAGCTCTCCTTGAGATGGGGACTTTTGTGCTTTCCTTTCTAATGTTGGGATGTGTGTAGGGGCTCTCTCTGTCTTTGGAGAAGCCCACGGTCTCTCCTGAAATGTTACTCTCTCTCTGCTCGTCCTCTTCCTAAAGGTCACCAAATAAAATGTATTTTTTTACTTCAAATAAATAAAGAAAAGGTCCACAGAAGATAAAACATTTACCACTCATAACAGCGTCAGTGATTCTAAAAACCAGACAGCTCTGCACACCACTTACTCCAGAAGTGGAACATCATATTACTCTTGCTAGAGTCCAGAATGACAGTTTCAAAAAAATAATAATAACCAAAACCTTTTTACCTTTAGAAGTGAGTACTGTGCAATCAAGCCAAATGGTCCTGTGAGATACTCATCTCAAACTATTGCCTGCGGGAGAGAGAAGCATCCCATTCTTTTAGTAAAAGGGATTTCAATAACGGCCAACAGCAAACAACAGTCATTTGCAAACTCTGGACAAACAAAACTTGCCATTAGCAATAGCTAACCACACTCCTATTTTGTGGCCTGAAGAAAAACAGCGTCAGGGCAAGGGGCGCTACTGGCCACAGAAGCACATTCACTGTCATCCACAAAGACTGTGTATGCAGTGTCCTGGGGTCAGACTGGGGTCATGAACCCCGTGGGTGAACTGCCAAGGAAACCGTTCAACCCAGCATGTAACAGGCGTCATATAATCCAGCATCAATCAAATGAAAACCTCTCGTGTAGGTATCCCATAGGTATCTTAATTCTGAGAGAGTATTTGGAAAGCTGGGACAGTGTCAGGTGCCCCTGAGAGAGTCAGGCCTCCAGCTGACCTTCGCCTCTACCTAGGCAAGGATGGTGTCACTGGGGGCCAGGATGAATGCCAAGCGGCCTGTGAGCATTTCGCCTGTGCGACACCAGGGTCCTTTTTCCCCATTTGGCATAACTGATTGGACGAACCGTGGAGGAACAGGCAGCTGGGAGAAGTGGTACCCAGGGTAGCATGCAGCGCCACCCCGCACACAGGGACAGCGGGGAGTGCCTGGACGCGGGGCTGTAATCGTCCTGCTGAGAAGGACTCAGGTCACTCCCATTTTCCTTCCCAGAGCCAGGCCACAGGGGCGGGGAGCGCAACGCCCCCTCTCTCCGGGCTGCCGACTCTGGGTGGCGCCCCCAGACCCAGAGGCCGCCACCCGCCCCGGCTGTCAGCTTGCTGCCCGCGCACATGTCTAGGAACTCGCGCAGCACGTTCAGGTTCACCCGCCTGACCACAGGTGCGTGGCCTTGGCTCCACTGGGCCCGGCTGCCACGTGACGCCGCGGTCACGTGAAAATAGTGACATCACACCCCCTCATCTCCCTCCATACCGCTAGGGGCGCCGGGGGTGCCCCACGGAGCCAGGGCACAGGCTTCCGAGACTCAGCGCTTCCCGGGGGCTGTACAGACCCCCCAGACCCCAGCAGAGCAGCGGCACAGCACTGCCTCTACTCCCTTGGAGGGACCCTCCCGGGAAGCTGGGGACGGGGGAACGAGGGCGCCCTGGCGTCATCTCCCCTGCACTGCCAGCTGGCCTTGCGAGGGCATGTTCCCCCCCCCCGCCCCCCCCGGCTCCTGGGAGCGGTCTCAGGTGGTCCTCGGGTTCCCCTGGCCATCACCGGGTCCTGCCCAGTGAGGGACCGACCAGCAGCCCCAGCAGGCCGGTGAGCGGCTCGCTGCGCCCTCTGCTGGCCGCCGTGCGAACTGCACAGGTGCGGGGCCCTGCCTGGCGCGGGAGGTCCCGCCCACTGGCACCCAACAGCGCCTCGCTCAGGCCGTGTCCCCCCGTCCCAAGGGTTCCCTGCCCGCCCCTCAGGGGCCGGCCCATGGCTGCGGAGCCGCAGGAGGTGGCGCTGCCCGCGCAGCGGTCCCTGGGGGGCCTCCGGCCGGATGCCCGAGCTTCGTGGCGCCAGGTGAGTTGGCGGGGCCAGAGCAAGGCCCGCGACTCCCGGCGGGCGACCCCCGGCGCCCGTCTCCCCGCGCGGGGCGGACCCCAGCCCCCGGCGCCCATCGAGGCGCACCCCGAAGCCACGTGACCGTCTTTCCTGGGGGCAGGGGCGGGCGGGCGGAGGGGAGCGCAGGGCGCGCGAGTCCTGGGCCGCGGGGGCGGACCCCCGGCGCGGGGGTCTCAGTCCTGAGGCATCTGTCCGCGGGGCTCTGGCGGCGGGGGCGGGGGCGGCAGGACTGGATGGCGGCCTGGGATCCTGGCCCCTCGGGCGGGGCGGGCAGGGGCCCCTGGCGTGCGGCTTTGGGTCTGGGTCCAGCGGTGGCGTTGGGCTCAGGCTTCGGGCTCCTCATCTCCCTCGTGGGGGGGGGGGGCACCCTGCCCAGCCGGTCTAGGAGATGGGGGTCAGCGGGCGACCCGGGAGGCCTGCACTTGCCAGCAGGGGGCTGGCCCCGCTGCAGCGCCCCCGCCCCAGAATCACCACGCACCCCCTCGCCTGCTAGGGGGCGCCCTCCACTCCAGGTGGGAAAACCCCCAGCCAACTGAGCCTCCTAGCGGGCCGCTGGCCAAGGACTGCTGGTCACAGGCCCTGAGGGTCCTCATGGCCCCTGGGGCCTCGACTTCCCTTCCTGTACCAGAAATCAACCCAGAGAGAGGCCAGTGCACAACTGCCCTAGAACCCCCGCTCAACGGCTCCCAGGACTATTGCGGGGGGAGGGGCCCAGGCGTTGATGCTTACACAAGTTTAGTGAAATTTTACTGACTGTGAGGGAGAAAAAGTTTGCCTGTGTGTACATGCCAGAACCAGCGTATCACTGTGTCCATTTGAATTTAAAGAAACAAGTTAATACCTTTGGGAGATGGAGAACAGAAAGAAAAAAAAAAGAACTTGTTGCAGCCCCACCCTACCCCCCAAAAAAGAATTCTTTAAAACACCTAATCCCAGGAAGAAGTGCTATTTCTTGAATAAATTATTACCAAGCAATGACAACAATTAAAACACACACAAAAGGACGTGTGGGGGGTAGCACAGGGTGGGGACGGACGTTCAGTCAAGACTGGGCAATGCCACAGCCTGGAAAGGACATGAGAGGGGACAGAAGTGTGGCTCGTGGGATGCATATTGGGAGAGAGACAGAGGTGCGTGTGAAGTGGGGGATCTCATTAAAGTCTGGGGTCCAGGACAGCAGTGGATGTTCGTGTCCTACTCAGTGTTTCGAATCTGTGTGCCTTGGGGATGGAGGGAATGCGCACCCATGGGAGAAGCTGGGAGGGCCACTGGGTATTCCCTCCAACCCACCTTGCGGCACTGGGTCATGCATGTTTAGATCACATGCTCTGGGCCATAGCACCAGTGATGCGGGCAGGTGACACATTGAATGAGGCATAACTTACAGCAACAAGCCGAGTCTCTCTGGTCCCCGGGTAAGTGGGTGAACGAAGAGCATGTTCCGAGTGTCAGATGCCTCCCAAAACTGACAGGAGGAATCGGAGACTGAGGCCCACGTTAGAAATGGCAGAATGTATGTCTGGTTAGTGAGACCCAAGATATCCGCACACACATTACAGAATTCTCATGGGTTTACGGCAAACGGGAATTCTCACAGAGATGAAAAGAGAAGTGTGTATTTCTCTCAGCGCCTGGCTCACACTTACACTCCAGATCATTAAATAGAAAGCAAAGAATCTGAGACTAACAGAGATCTCCTGAATTCAACACCCAAGGGCTGGAAATACACCGGAAAGGGTGGACTTCTGTGCAGTTAAGCTATTACATGAGCAACACCTCGCTAGGGAATAGGATCTTGTTTAGGTGGAAATAAGAGCGTTTTAGTGGAAAGGAAATCTCTGATGCGACCCTGTGGGTCAGGAATCTTGACTTTCCTATGGCATGTGTTTGGGGCTGGGCTGGGGTCTACGCTTCACAGACAGGAGAGCTGGGTTGGTCCCCAGCACTGCATGGTCTCTGGAGCCAGGAATGACTGAAGAGCACTGTGTCCCCAAAGCAAAACAAAACAAACTTATTTGGTAACTGATCCCACCATAAGATTATTTTAAGAGTTCCTTGCTCTAAATCTAACACATACTTAGAAAATCTGATTTTAAATGTTTATTCAAAGTGAAGGGGTTTAAGGAGGATGTGCAGAGTCTCTTGCCCCCGCGCCTGACTGTCCTCGCCGGGACCCCTTGGAGGGGAGCAGGTTGAGTTTCCCTCCCCACCCCGACCAGGGCTCCGGCAGCCGAAGACCTCCACAACCAGCCACCACCATGCTGAGACCACTCTCCACAGGCATGAAGGTACTGGCAGAGGAACAAAGGCATGCGTGTCCTGGGGCTGAGATCTCCAAGCCTGCTCAGATTGGGGCTGAGCATCCTCCACTCAGATCCTCCATATTCCAGTAGGCAGAGGTTACACCCACCAACTGGCCCCCTTGTGCCCTGTAATCCCATCAACGGCCAAGACCCAGAGACTATAAAACCCAGCTCCCGGAAGCATCTTATTGTCTCATTCTTTCTTTGGATAAACTGGCAGGCTACCGAATGTAACCAGCCCACACGGCAGAGTCTGGCAAACTCCCCGTGGCTTACGCAATATGCCAAATACCAGTAACAATGATGAGGCTCATTCTACTAACGCGGAAAGAGCCTTGAATATGGCACTTTTTAAAAAATTCTCAGGGCTAGGACAAAGGAGACATTACTGGGGCCTGTTCGAGGCAATCGACGAACAACAGGATGGTTGTGATCGTGATCGTGAGCAGATTCCAATTTTTTGGGGGGAGGAGGGGGTCATACCGAGAGATCTCAGGGGATCCTCCTGGTTGTGCACTCAGGAATTACTCCTGGCAGTGCTTGGGGGACCATATGGGATGCCAAGGATCGAACCCAAGTTGGCCGTGTGCAAGGCAAACACTCTCCACGCTGGAATGTCGCCCAGTCCCACATTCCCATTCTTTGGTCAGGACTATCCAACTAGCCTGAGCCATCAGCTCTGAGGCAGGAGGGGAGGGCAGATTCCTTGGCGTGTTCCTGACACAAGCCTGGAACATTGCACAATCACCTGGCAGCCTTTCCTCGAGTGGGCACGTGTGGCGACCCCTACATGGACACGGCCAAACAGACCCTGGCAGCTGCTCCTGCTGACCAGTCCTCACGGCTAATTCCTTTGGTCTCTTCTCAGCTCTGACTTCTACCGTGCAATCCACAAGTGGCTGGAGGACATCGGGCCTCTTTACCAATGCCCGAGTCACAAATACGTGGGCCCCTTTAAAGCCACACGCTTTAGATTTGGTGTCATGAGCAACAGCAGAGGGAGGAGAGCCGGAAGGGAGGTGTCCGGGGCCAGAAACCTTTCCCAAGCGATCACACTATCCAGATTCTTTCCTTACGACTTTCATAAGAAATAAATCTCAGTCATCATGCAAATGCCTTAAAGTGTTACTGGGCAGCCTTTCAAAATGCAAAAAACAAGAACCAAATATTAGAAACTAAAAAAATATATGAAATTTATTATAACGTGGATAGAGTTTCTTTAGTCTTTCCATCAAAGACACACAGATAGAGCAAAGGAAGCAGGAGTGGGAGGAAAAAGAGAGGGTGAGGTGAGCACGGCAGTGCGTGAGCGCAGAGACAGCCAGACATCAGCACTCACAGTGATCTCAGGACCGCGGAGGCTGCCTCCCGGACCCGCAGAGTTCCTGACCAAAGCACGCACCTGACATTCTGGTTCTGGTATCTGTCCTTGGCCGTCAGGGAAGTGGGGTACGCCGAACAGGACCACCCCGCCCCCGTCTGCTCTGGGATTTAGCAGTGGTCAGAGCAGGGCAGGATTGGCCCTGCCTTCCGCAGCTGGACCTGTTTTCTTTTATTTATTTTTTTATTTTTTTAATTTTATTTATTTATTTTTATTGAATCACCATGAGAGACTTACAATCTTTCATGTTTGGGCTACAATCACACAATGATCAAACACCCATCCTTCCACCAGTGCACATTCCCCACCACCAATCTCCCAGGTATACCGCCCCCCTTCTACACACACCCCTTGCCTCCATGGCAGACAATATTCCCCATACTCTCTCTCTACTTTTGGACATTATGGTTTGCAATACAGACACTGAGAGGTCATCATGTTTGGTCCATTATCTACTTTCATCACAAATCTCCCATCCCGACAGATCTGGACCTGTTTTCAACCTGTCTGAAAACCTAACTTGGAGACAACCTCCCGAAAGAAACGCTGACTTTCACAAAGTGCAGAGACACACCTTTGGCACACATCGCGTGCAGCTAAGCTGGAGATAACTACAGTCTGGGGAAAACCCGCAGCAAACCCAGGGGCTGGGTGACTGTAGGCGACGTCCTCGCTCAGAGGCAGCAGTTCTGCGCCTCCATGTGGGAGCCCAGGATGGAGAGAGCCTCCGCCATCAGGACTGCACACCAACAAGGCCCTTGGGGGCAGGCAGCGGTTTCTGCATGAACCCAGGGAAACTGGACCTAAACCCTTCTAGGCTTTCAACCTGAGAGCAGAGCAAATTCCTTTTAGCACTTTATGTACCATCACACTCAGACCTACATCTGAATCCTTTACAATCTCTACCTAGCGATGAAGATCCTGGGATTAGCTACAATTGAGTTGTCTTCAGATTTCTGAATCAGACACAACTTGCCATGATTAACGAGAAGAAACAGTTCAATATTTGTTTTAAAATTTTTTAATAGTTTTAAATTTTTGTACTCCCACAAAAGAAAAATAAAGTCATCATTTGTTCCTTAGATTCACTGAAAGTTTTTTTCCTTCGGGGTGGATGGGTGCACACCTGGCCATGCTCAGGGTTTACCCTGGCTCTGGGCTCAGGGTACCACACGGGGTGCCAGGGATTGAACCCAGCTCAGCTGTGTACAAGACAAGATAGTACCAGTTCTACGACTTCCCCAGCCCCTGAAAGAATGACTTTCCATGGATGGCTGCATAAACTTTCCTGGGACATAGGGGGAGAAGGGGAACAGAGGTGATGAGACAGCAGAGGGAAATGGACAAGTGGTTAAATGGGTCATTTATTTTTTAGAATTTATGAATTTATTTTTGCCGGGGGTCACGCCCAGCGATGCACAGGGTTACTCCTGGCTCTGCACTCAGGAATTACTCCTGGTGTTGCTCAGGAGACCATATGGGATGCTGGGAATCGAACCCGGGTCAGCCACGTGCAAGGCCCTACCCCGCTGTGCTACCACTCCAGCACTAAGTTGCATGCCAAGATGCGTGTCTTAAAAAAACGAAACCAAAATGAAACAAAAAACTGCTTCCCGTTCTGACGGATGGTTCCTCCTCAAGCCAGGGGCGCCAGCCTTGATTC